AAAGTACCAAGGAGTTGCAGAAAACAGACAGACAACGGGGAACTAGCATCATAAACCTGAGCAAATTTAAAGAACAGAATTTAAGCAGTACAACCCAAATGTTTTTTCAAAAATAAATGTTCTTATAGGCAGGTTCAACAAGAGGTCTGAAAAGCTAAGCATTTAGAGAATAAGGGGTACCTTGAGAACCTCCGCGTTCACAAAACTACTCCAACTGTGAATAGCTATAACATAATCCTCTGCATCCTCAAAAGCTGCCCAATCCTTACTCTACTTCAACCAGAGATCTACCCAAAGGAACATGTATTGAACCTTAATCATAAACTTTCTTTAACTTTGGATCAGCTTAAACCTACAAAACAACATCCATGCTCTCAAACTCAGAGATGCGATCAAGCACAATCAACTTAGCAAGGGACTACATCTCTCTCACATTCTTGGTAGCAAGCTTTCTCTGCTCCCTCCTGTCAATTCCGGCTCGGAACCCTTGAGCTGGGCCTTGTGAGGATTTTGATCCAATATATTGTTCTTTAACTCCTTCTCACGATCTCGATCCGCCAATTTCTCCAACCACGCACACTCACACTCCTTGGCTTCCTCCTCATGCTGGCAATTGTAGCATTCCGAGCAGTGTTCCCTGTCTCGCCTCTTTTCACGATCTTGACAGTTGGAATTGGGGGAAGGTTTGGAGGAGCCGGAGATAGAAGGATTGAGGCGATTGAGGTGGTGTCGTTCTTAGATGCAGTGTCCCTGAAGGCATTGGAGGACCAACGGCTCTCTTTTCAGTTAAGAAGACAGGCTTAGGAGAAAAAATCATAGGAACCTTTGTGGGAATGGAAGGAACCACAGGATCCCTCTCCACATGACGTAAAGCACCTTTCACAACAAATTTCCCATCCGCGTTAAGGGGAAGGCAAAAAATATCAAAGAACTCCGGCTTAGAAGAAGAGGGAAGGACACCCGCGTCATCAGCAAAAGAGCCACCAGAGCCAAAAACCGAGGACAGAACAGAGCCAAAAGCCGAGGACGGAACAAAGCCGGAAGCAGAAACCGACACAAAGCTAGAAGCCGCGATCGGATCAGAGCCAGAGACCGTGACCGGATCAGAGCCAGAAGCTGTAACCAGAACGGAACCAGAAGCAATGACCGAAGCGGAGCCGGTAGCAGAAGACGGAATAGAATTGGCAGCAGAAGGATTAACGGCCATCGTAAGATAACCGGCCAAGATCAAGCCACAAGATCAAAGAAATTTTCCTCAAATAGAAAGAAAACAAAGAAGAAAAAGAAAAGGAAGAATCAAGGAAAAACAAAAAGAAAGCAAGAAGAAGTCAAACAAAAAGGAAAGGTAGAATCGGGAAACTCAAAAGAAAACCCCATTCAGCCAAAAGGATAAATTGCAAAAAAATCCCAAGAAAATAGGGGTTTAAACCAAAAGGGAGCGGCCGTACCAAAACGCCATACAACGGGGGCCACGTACATAAAGTTGCTGCCAGAAAATAGGAAAATTCGGGTAATGCAGCCGTAAGAATATGGAAAAATCAAGAAAGGACCTGAACAAATTCACGGAGCAATTAATTTCAAACAGAAACTTTTTAATAAGGAAACTGCACCAGGAATAATAAAGGAAAAACCTGCGCTGCACTCTTTTTTCCTTAAACTAGATTTTTATCTCATAGGGTTTTTTCTAGTTAAGGTTTTTAACGAGGCAGCCATGGTTAAAAAAGTGACAACCTGCGCAGAATTCAAAACCAACATCAACAGAGCAATAAGAAAGACAAACACCCATTGAAAGTTTTCACTACCCTCAAACTTTTTCATTGGGGAGCAAATGTTATACCCTAAAACAAGTCCTATGATAATTAGGACACGTGGAGGCATTCTAGAGATAGTCCTATCAAAAGTAGAATAAGATAAATCCTACTAGAATAAGAATATCCCAAACACCAATCAAATAAAATTGTATTCCTAGAATAACTATATTTAAGCATCCTATAAATACCTCTAGGATCAACCTAAGGAGGTAGATTATTTTTTCATCATTATTCTCTCTACATTGTAAACTCTCTCTATCAATAAATATCTTGGTTCCACACCATCTATTCTATTTTTTACTGTTAACAGTTTGCAAAACTTATTGGAGTAGAAATTATAATAGGTCTTCGTGTTGGACAAAGATGCTTCATACCAAGGATTACACTCAATCCACAAAATGTGAAATTGTCATTTATTTTTAAGAGGAGACATTATCCAATGTAGTTCTATTTTGCTATGATTATCAACAAAAGTCAAGGGCAAACACTTTGACAAGTGACAATATATCCACCTAAACTTGTTTTTTCACAGGGACAACTATATGTTGCAATATCAAGGGTGCAAGACAAATATGTGTTAAAGATATTAATTTATAATAGTGATGTTCCAGAAAGTTTACGAACAAATTATACCAAAAATATTGTCTATAGAGAAATTTTCGAATGTTAACATTTATATATGATCAATTCTATCCTTTACAATTCACATTGCTAAAAATTTGAAAGAAAATTTCTACTGTTCTCCTCAAGCTGCATTTGAATGGCAACAAAGTTTTATAAGGGAAAAATAATTGAACATTGCTTGACTGAGTTTATGAGGGAGTTTGAGGGATTTTTTTTTTAAAATAATTTATAGAGTTTTTTTAATGTCACATGTTGTGCAATAATTTACTAAAAAATACAATATGTATTATGTTTATAATTATTTGTTAACCTACAATATTAAATAACTAAAAATGAATTATTATAATACAAGCGAACTGCATGAAGCGTAGCTTGAATTCTAGTTTATTATTTAAAACATTAAAATCAACTTATAGATTGGTATTTTAATAGGTTAAAACAGTTCATTTTTAAAAAATTATAAATTAATAAAATATCAATAAAAATAAATAAAATCTGTGTGACCTTAATAAAAAGATGTGTGGTCATAGCCACGCCCCTACCAAGAACTTGAACTTAAAATGAGAAATTAAAGCTTTATTTAGTATGATTTTGATTTTTAATTTCTAGTTTTAATTTTTATTAATTTTACAATTAAATAAAAAAAATTCTTTAGATCATTTTTAATATATTATTATAAGATAATGATTGGTGCATATTATCTCGTTACACACTTGTTACACACTCTAACGGTTTCAGTTATATGCACTCACGGTTGTTGACTCACCCAACCCTTTCTTTCTCTCTCCTTTCCTTTCTCCTTCTTCCCCCCTTCTTCCTCTTTTTTTTTTTTTTTT